ATGCATGATCATTTCCAGAGTAGGACCGTTGACGAATGGCGAGACTCACTGACGACGCCGACTACGATGCCGGCAAAACGTCTGGAAATGTACCACGTTAACGGTCCTACTCTGGAAATGATCATGCAGACAATGGACTCCGGACAAAGTGCGTTCCTCTAAGTCTTCCTACCAATATGAACAAGTTGCGAAAACAAGGTCAACCAACTTCTAAACTTGTGAATGTTGCTTATACAAAGCGCACGCGCATCCACGAAGCTAAAACAAGCCACAGGTTCATAAAGCAAAGGCTGAACACGAGATTTATTCTGTGCATATGGCGCACAGTGATAAATGAATCTGCAGGGCCAAGTTAGGATTTCATGAACATTAGGGCTGACGTATACGTGCTATCAAAGTCTTGAGGCAGTGTAGAACATAACGCCTCGAGTAGCATGGAAAGGGTGGCAGCGATAGAGTGAAAACACTGAACAAGGGAGATAAGGGATGAATCCTACTAAACAAGTGGAAGACTATGATATGATCTGGAAAAAGAGGATTGCAGACTAAACTGCAGCCTTGGATTAACACTCCCAGAGCAATTGGGGTATGTGGGAACCAGTGGAGTGTGAATGAGTCTCACTTAATCTGGTCAAAAAGGCATACCTCAGCTAGGTTTAGATGAACATAAGAAATTGTGATAGTGAAGGAGTGCTACGAGGGTATAGGAAAGGTGAATACGTCAGGACAGATTGAGAGATACCACCAATGTCTAGCACACAATTGGTCAAATGAGCGAGTTCACTTGTCTCTTTAAAGAGTTGCAGTGGTGTTATCATGGCAAGGCTCACTGACGATGCCGGCGAAACTTTTGGGAATGCACAAAGTCCACGGTCCGACTCTGAAAATTATCATGCATACTATAGACCCTGGACAAGATGAGTTACTCTAGGCCTTCGTGCCAATATGATCAAGTTGCGAAAACAAGATCAAACAAGTGCTATACAACGAAAGGAGACCTCGACCATACTTAAGGCCACAAAAGCTTGATCCTTATAACTTCGGTTATAGGTTAGTTTATTTACAGCGACAAAAGTTGTGACCACATCCGCTCCCCTTTCTCTATGAATTTCACTCGCATAAATGCATGTATGGCAAGCATAAAGCAGCCAACCAAATAATGGGAAGCCTCATTAAGATCTCAAGGCGAAATATAACAAGTAAAAATCTCAGCCGGTCACCTTTCTTGATTTAGTGCTTTTTCGCGAATAATGGATTCTGGCTCTGATGATATCCGTCACATGAAGGACAAAAGCCCATCGAGGTCATAGGACGATAAGCTAAGGTCTTCTTCGCACAATTCAACAGACAAAAGTTCAACTCTTATATATTCCGTTAAGGCTAATCCACAAATCCCATCCACTCACCTTCTCTAACAAAATGAGAGATATGCTAGTATTGGGCAAACTTTGGTCAAAGATGGACTTCACTTGTATCTTTGAAGAGGTGTAGTGTTGTGCTAGAAGTATGAAGGTTCACCGACGATTCCAGAATGTACTAAGAATACGGTATGACGCTGGAAACAATTATGGCCATCATGACAGAGGATTCCGGAAATGTTGCGTTCCTTGAGGTCGTCTTGACAACACGAAGACCAAGTTGCGAAAATGAGATCAAACAACCTCAAAAGTTATTAAGGCCTATCTAGAGAAAATCAAAAACTATTCTGCGGAAATTCAGATAAGGCCTTAGAGATGCCAGTAACAGATCTTAGATGATAAATAAATATTAAGTAAGAAGCCGACCATATGAAGAACCTATGATATACATTAGCGCAGGAAGAAGCATGGCTGAGGTTTTGTGGCCTTATAAAGTTTGTAATTACTCAAACGCAGACTGATCCAAGTTAATATTTGCTGAGTAGTTGGATCTATTTTATTCTTATCATTAAACCTTTATATGTAATTGTTGAACCCGATAAATAGAGATCTGAAAGATATCCATCGTAAGCATAAATGTCAATCAATTAAAATGAGAATAATATTTTCTCAATAAAAGATTAAATTTGCCTTAAAAGTCCTTAATCAAGAAATACTAACAATTTCGAAACACTCGTCGATTGTTATGGTGAATATAAAGTTGGTTTAACATTATCAGTCCTGCCATAAATATGGTCTGGGAGAGACGCGCTGTGCCTGGACAGATACCACGGCCCTACCACTAATGGCATGCGCGGCCGTAGTTAAGAGTAGTTATGTTACCTCTTGGAGCTCAAGATCAGATTTCGAGTCTGATTTCACTTAGGCGAGGTACATACTTGATGAAAAAGCAAGGCTACGCAAAATAGAAATGCATCGTGAGGTCTACTCACTTCATTGTGGGAAATATAACGACAAGTCTTAAATGATCTTAAACTAACCAGGTCTATTAGTAGTATTCAAGATGAACTGACAAGTTCGTAGGCTACTCACTATATTTGTCTAAAGCTTAAACTTGAGAGGCTAAAAAGTTCAAACGCAAGTGCTCAAGTAAAAAAGTGAAGGCGCATCAATGATCGGTTGGTGTCATAATTGCTTTCCTGATGAGTATGACCCCCATATAATATTGGTATATAAGGTAAAATGATGTAGAGGTAAATTCAAGTAGTCATTTCAAATACTTTTAATAGATTAAATATCAGAATCTACAATACCAGAGCTCCATTAACTACCTTAAATCATAAGCTAGATTAACTAATAAAGTTAAAACTCCGCTAATGGCGATGGTGAAACATAGATGTTAAAACTATAGCTTGCGCTAAATTAAAATGACCTTATGATAAACAAAGTATTATTGTGAATAATCGATGTAATGAAGTGTTATCTTATGAAAGTATTGCTGAGAAGAGAAGCCAATCATTATTTAAGATTAAGGCTTAGGTAGTTGCTCAAAGGTATATGAAAGATGTAGTATAAATAAGAGCATATTTTATCCGAGCCAGGATTGCTATTACTAGAATCTCATTGGCAATGATAAAAGCAAAAACGAAACATGCCCTTAATGAGAGCAATCTAGGCGTGAATGATAATGGAACCATTTAACGCCCGCCATGACATATTTAATTTTCCAAAAAGTTAAGATAATAAAATCTAGAAGAAGCATTTACTTGGCAGCAGATCGCCACACCTCCTTTGTTGCCAGCAGTCCCGCCTAACCCAGTCTTCACTGAGGCCGAAGCAACGCCATGAAGATGAGACGCTAGCTTTTTCCGAGTGAAAAGAAATAGACAAACGCCAACAAGCTGAACTGAGGAGACCAGCACATAAGGATCGTCAATCGGGGAGTCCCGATTAAGCTTTAAATGAAGGAAACGAGACCAGTCCCTCTGACTCGAGGAGACTTTCGAACCTCCTACTGACACAACATTAGTTGCATTGAGGTCAACAATCTCCTCAAATCCAATCGCAAAAAGATCAATACGGCGCTCCTTCAAGTGGGCTAAATCAAATGAGGGGTTTCGATAACCCCAGTTATGCGAGACAGAATCCGGCAGGTCCAAAAGCCAATCAGTCACAGACTCGTTTTTGTGAGTAACACTGCGAAAGTATTTGCCCCCATTCAGATTCCAGGTGCCAATGAAAATTCGAAGACTTTCTTTTCTAGTAAACTGCGGATAGCGATTTAAGATTTCCATTAGAAGTGCAGGTGGCAAGTAGAGAAGGCGCCGTGGAAGCAACTGAGCTAAGAGGGTGAATTATACGAAACGTCAAATAATGAAACAATATGTATTGAAATTTTAAACAAATCAATAGTAAAATTTGATGAAATGAAATATGAGTTAAGTCATTCCAATGAGAATTAAGGATAAAAGATAGTATTTAGAGGCAAAAGAATTATAAGGAAAACGCTGCTTCGTTCTAAGATATGATCAGAATGCTCCTTATAAGAATTTAGATTACCCTTTTGGTTTAAAAAATATTCTTAGGAATATTAGTCAATCAATTGTATAAACAAATATGTCGACTCAGTATCGACTCAGTCAGCTTATAATTGATAATTTACTTATTTTTAATAAGAGATAATGTAGACTTTATGTAAGGCTCATTAATCTGCTAACATTCCTGGACGGTGTTAATGACACATCAAGTAGCAAGTACATGATAAGGGAAGATACTATCAGCCTTGGCTCTAGAAAGCTAATCGAAGAGGACTTTCATAATAGTTTAATTAGCTTACTCAGTCCTATGAAGTTACCTGTAAGAATAACGTTCCTTCCAGTAACCAAGTAAATAATAGGCAAATAACTGCGAACGATCGTCTTTTCTGCCATCAACCCCGTCAGTTGGCCTCATATTAACTGAAATCGGAAAAATCTATCTCTAATCCCCTAATAAACACGGAAGAATCGGATTCTGTTGAACTTTATGAACTTCGTCTTCCCATATGGTCACGGAAAGGCAAGAAATTGTATATTCTGATTAAACACTCTACTGTTCCATTGCAACACCTAGCAAATACCCTATATCATAGAGAAGTGAGGAAATTCAATACCATTCTCTGTAAATTCGGCCTTATGCTAACCTTAATTTTGATATAGGCAAATCCTTATACATGTTTAAAACGAATGCATCTATTATAGCTTTACTGTAGATGACAAAGATCATAGCAAGTAGCACTTAATGAACCTATCGTTTAGTCTAAAAGGACGACACTAATTTGTTTTATTTGCTTGGCCATCACATTGATTGCAACAAAATACTTCAATGGAACGCAAGCAAGTCAGGAAAAGGTGGTAGGATAAATTATTTCCGACCTCTATGTGTAGCCAAGGTGTCCATGGTTTCCTAGATAAGGTTAACTTCCAAAGCAAATTCATCCTAAGCTTACTCAGAAGATGCAATTTGCTTAGTTGCTAAGACGAGGATCAATACTAAATGTAACGGGTGCTTAATATAATAAATGATGTATTCAGGTAGTCTTTAATAGAGATTTAGGAAGTTGATCGAACATAAAGCATAGCTACACATATTTTAAATGTAGCTCTTTAATAATCCAAGGTATAGCAATGCCCGGCTTCTAATTGATATTTTACTTATTTTTAGTAAAAGGCAACGAAGACTTAATATAAAGTAGTGGGGAAAACATGGTGATAATTTTCTGACCTGCTGAAATGCCCATCCATCCTTCAAGACTTGACTGCGAGAGCAGCTTTTTCATAGCCTCCTGTTTTGCGCTATCCAGGAAGTTATTTTTAATGGTGCGGACAGCACTACGCTGAGCATCACGAAGCTTAGATCTACCACTGCCCAAAGCACCTGTGCTCGCGTAAATTCTGCTGATTTCATCTCCATTATTCTGCCAAAGCTGAAGAGAATGAAAGTAAGGATAACAAATGAAATAATGGCATATGAATATAGAGCTACAGAGAAGCTAGTTGAAGTAAATTGGCATCACCAGTCTTGAAGTTGTGGATAAAATTTGTGCAAAGTCTTTAGAGCACCATCTTTTGATCACGGTAAATACGGTTATCGTCTGTCATGTCGTATACAGCATCAGGGCATTGGTTCGACCTTGTTTTCGCAATTTTGTCGGAGCGTCAGAGTCCTATGGTCTCTATACTAGTAATCGTGATTTCCAACATCGGACCACTGACTTGGTCCGAAACCTTTTGAAAGCATTGTCAGTTACAAGTACCATCATCAGTGGCAACTTAAATTAATCCCCTTGAATTTTCTGCTCAACCACTATTGCATCACTCCTCGCATCTATTTTCTATTTTACCTTCAAATGAGGCATCCCTCTCAGCACCACTTAATAGAGCCCATTTACATATTATCACAATTCTATGCTCTCGTATCCTTCATTGTAGCCCAAGAGTGTCGTTACAAGTGGGTATTAGTGAAAAGTAATCATCTTTACCACCGGTACCAGGAGCCGTTTTCAGGACTCCTGACCTACATCTAACCCCCCTTCTCCTACCCCGCCAGTCTCTTGGTCGATGCTAAACATCTAAATCTGTCTAACTGCCTAAGAGCCTTGTATTCCCGTCCCCGATTACGCTATATTTGAAGATATAGAGTAGATGATGCCCATGCCCATGCCCATGCCCATGCCAGTGCCAAGGCTTCAAACCCATGATTCGATTATCCTCTTCCTCATCTCCACACACATTGCGTCCCATTATTTGGGTCCCTGAGTCTGGCTTAAATAATAACGGCTGGCGTAAAAATGCACCAGTTTCATTTTTCTTACTGAATCGCGAAAAGCACACTCCCCTCGTCCTTCAAATCTGCACTCCTATCTAAGCCTCGGGAACTAGAATGTCCATGTGCGTGTAGACTGGTATCTCCTGTGGTCAAGCATGTAACTATTCACCTCAAGGCACAGACACGAAAACGCACTGGCGATGTCGGTGAAACGTTTAGAATGTATCAAGTCCACTTTAGGAATAGCAGAGGACTTCGAACATGGTTGATCCAACTAGGTTGACCTAACAACACGACCATGTTACGGAAACGTGGTAATACCCC